GACGATTCGAAATACAGGGAAAGATTTTGAACCTTTTTTTTAATAACGAATCACCCCAGCGAATGAATTATTATTAAATTAACGACGACTTCCGCGATCAGAATGTCCCAAGGCGAGCAGGGTTGAAAATCTCAAACCTTCGTGGGGGCAGTCGCTCAGTTTCGGCGCCGATAACGACGCCAGTTCACGGAATGAAAGCTCAGTTAACGCGAATTTCTCGTGAACTCGGATCTGATATTTTCTCGGCCGTGGCTCAGAGCAACTTCGCCCTTCGTTTGTCTGTGGTGAAACAAAGCGACGTTTTTCCTGTTAACAGCGCGAAGTCCCTTGGTCCGTCGGCCACCTGAACGCACCCTTTCACTCACTGGCCTCCCCCCTCTCCGTCTCGCCCTTGCAATTGTCCGGAAGCTCCGCGTCTCCAGTAACGGACATTCCTCGTAGTTCAGTCAATCTCAGCGGTCGTCGTCGTCTCTGAGCCTTCAAACGCTTGCAGAACAGGTGAGCGGAATTGTCTTTGTTCTCTGCTCCGCGTGTACTCGGCGGCTGTGTTACGGGAGGTTGCGCCCTGTAGGTTAGGCTACAAGTGTACCAGCGTTTCAGAAGTTATGTTCGTCCTGATGATGGAGGCAGCAGAGTCTTTCGAAACGTCTACCGTGAGCACCTGATACAGATACAGAGGAGGGCAATGGGAACCGAGACGGACGGACAGGTTGAGGACAAGAAACGTAGGCCGTGCGGGGTCCATTGAAAGAGATTAATCTGTAATAAAATCAATGAAGGAAGGAATGAACGGAAAATTTCGCCTTGCAGTTTCTGATTTCCCACAGTCAAAAATAATTCACGAAGTAGGATTTGGGGTTTTCAAGGCGGCGAGTCCGAAGATGGCTGACTTCCGGGTTGTAGCCGACGTTTCGATAAGAAGGGAACAAGTCGGTACAGCTGAATGTGACTTAAGCCCTTCTTAGGGGGCACGAAGTAATTCGTATTTGTTGATATTCTCTCAGTCGTGCGCGTAGATAAATTTCTACCCGGAAGATCACATCCAGGAACCTACGACGTTTCTAATCTTCAGGCGACAAGTGCGCGAGTAACCGAGAAGATGAGGCGTCGTGTGTTACTTCGACTGAGCTGAGTTCCCACGGGTTTGCGTTTGCCGGGAAACCCCGATGTCCGCGTTGCCAAATTCTTACCTGATTTTTGCGGTAACGGTTAAGGGCCTGTTGCCAGGTAAACGCGGTTTTACTCAGTGAAGGTTAGGTTTGGTGGCTGGCCGTCGAACTGTCCAAGGCCGCAGGCAGACTCTCCTTTTAAACTAATTTCGAATCACCCGAGAACTCGTTTTACGACGCCCGTAACCGCTGAAAACTTCTGACAATCCCTGGTTCAATATTTCAGTGCTATAATCGACGTGCCCATTGTCCGATTATATTTTGTAGCCTGTACACGACGTTTCGGGAGCAGCAAGAACCTCTGATCCTGCAACCTCACAATTTGTGACGTCTCGTGACATTCCAAAACGGCATTTGGTGAAACAAACTGGCCCTAAATGCAGCCGTTGAGCAGCCTACTGCATATAATGCGAGGTATTTTGCTCGGACAATTTTTGGTTGGAATTCCGCGGAACCAGGAGAGTGGATTTCCCGTGCGCTTGGATCGCATTACGTGTTTGTAACTTGTTTGTCGTGTTTGTTCATCGAAGCTTGCGAGCCCTTCCCACAAATGCAATCGCGCTTTTAAAGGGCTCGTCCTTAGATGCAAAGAAAATGGCTGGCCCTAATCCTACGTCCCCTGAAGGTGTGCTCGGGGCGGGGCGGGGGAACCAGGCAACTGAAGATGCTGTCAGAGGACAGTTTCGTAAACGGAGCCTGTAATTTTGTGCCAACGCGGCCAGGGAAGGCGAGCGACAAATGAACGGAGCCTGTGATTTTGTGCCAACGCGAGCGACGAATTTGCGAAATATATTTCTAATCGTGTTCTTCCGTGCCTTGGAAATTGTGGATTGAAATTCGAGAACGCACGAGTCCACCGAGCACTGGGGCACAATAAAAACTCGTTTCGGGAGGTCTTCGCCACAGGGAGAACGTGGACTGGTTCCTTTAAGTGCGTTCATTTCTAGAGGAGATTGAGCAGAAATTACAAACTAAATCACGTGAGGCCCAAAATGATTCGGTGCGATGAGCAGGGAAGACACTGCCGCTGCGGTAACCCGCCGTTTACCGCCTGCATTTGCAAAGAAACTGCATCGTGTTGGTACCACTGCCCTTACATAATGATCTCCGAAACGTCGGGAACACAACTTAGGCCTACATCATCTGCGTGTTGTCAGCGCCTTGCCGGTTTGCGCACAAAGTCCGAAACTCGTGACCGATTATTCATCGAGCCGTTTCCTGGGTCCACGCAGGCTCAAGACTGAAGAAGGCGGACGGACGAGATAATTTAAGCTGCACGAGTGCGTCCGCTGCTCACGAAAAACTTCGATCGGACGTGAGACAAGTTTTTGAGCAATTATTATTAATACACCAGTGCCCTTTTTGTTAAGTTGTCGTGATTTACAGAATATTTTACAAGAATTACGCGACGAGAAATTCCTTGGCGAATTCATTTCAGACAAAACGACGTTGTCTCAGTTGCTGAGGCGACTTTCATTAGACGCTTTAACCTGATTATACGTAATGTTGGGCTAATTCGTTCTGTACCTCGGGAAACCTTTTTCACTTTTAAGCTCTTGGATTTTGAGGACAAGATTAAAAATTTCAAAATCAGTTCGGCAGGTCCGTACTTGAAGCCCGGCGACGGGCAGACCTTCCCTGCACGCGCTCAGTTTATATAGGATGGGTGTGGGGGGAGATCGACTTTTAATGCTCGTAGCAGGGAAGGGGCGAGCTGTCTCTCGCTGCTCTGTTGACCGAGTGGCTTGTTCATTATAGAAGCCGCCTATTGCCTGCCGTACTAGGAACACTGGAACACGTTTGTGTTTCGGCAAACATCGCCGTTGCCTTCTTCAGGGGGAGGGGCGGGGACAACATTTTTATTTCTTAAAAGTGGTTTGTGCCCGTCAGGTTTCAAGGTGAAGATTTATATGGATTTTTTCCTCATTTATCCCATTCATGCTGCATGAAACACCAATCTCATTCTCCTTAATGTCGATATCTGAAAGGAATCAGAGATTTCTTTGCGTGTGTTTCAAAGACGTAACATCTGAAAACAAAATCATCGCCTCCATCTTCAGGACGCAATCGATTTCTGAACGTCTGTAGGGAACTTTGGTCTTTGTGAAGGCTGCATCTGAGTGAAGACGCTGCTGTTAACACATTTATTTGCAAGTGTACGCGGATGAATCTGTTCCGCGCCTTTTACGATCTTGTGGTTTGCAGTTCTCGACGCCAAGCGCCGCGCTGGATTTCCCGGTCCGCTTCAGTCACCACATGGCTGGCTGCCTCAAGTCGCCAGGGACATCGGCGACATCGCACCACCAATACCACACCCCGCACCCCGCAATGCCGGTTCCGGGGCTCACCGGACCCTACGGCTTGTCCCACGCCCTGGACCCCGTCGGGTTCCAGCAAGGTGAGTGCCACTGGATTAGCTTTTGGCAGCGACTACCGAAACGTCGGGCGGTTCTCGAGACCAAACCGAGTCCTTAAGAAACAAATAATTGCCCTATTTTCGATCGCCCTGTGAGGACGAGCGCAGGGGCTGGCGACTGAAGCCGTACGCGTCCTCGGCGGGTCAGGTTACATCTCGCCGTGATGTTTCAGATGTTTGTTGGCTTCAGCTTCCCTTCAGCGCTGCTGCGTGTTTAATCCAATAATCCAACACCCGCGCAACGTCGCCTCGTCCAGGCTCGCCACTGTTCCTGTGCCGAGCCAGATTAATCCACGTATGAAATGTGTTTAGAATTCCCCACCTACCGTTCACTTAGTGCCCGGTGGATGGCATACACGCCCACGAAACACAATTTGGAACACGTGAGAGCACACGAGGTGATAATATTAAAATGGATCTTAGATCGGATGAGATGATGCATACGAACCGGTGGTGGGCTTTTGTGAAGACGAAATCAGGTCTGGCGCTCAGATTGTGTCGAAATGCAAAATTTTCTCCGTCCAGCAACGGCGCAAAGGCATTCCTCCCGTTTCCACATTCAAATCACTTTCTCCCGTTGACGGGGACACTAGTAGAGGCCCTCTGGAAGGGCCGCCCCATCCTCCCTAAGCCTCGAAGTGGCCCTTAGCGGTAGCAACAGTAATTGGTTTTGCTCAGACAGACAGCCTCCCAGGGGGGAGCCTTCGCCCTCCTCAGGACGAGGATGCGATTAGTTAGTGAATTTCATAGCGGTTGATTCAAATTGGCAGTGATTCTGAACATCTGTCCACCGGAGTAATGAGAGGCGTAAACGAGGAACCGAAAATTAAGTGACTGAAGACGAATTTGTGTCAATTCGGATTCGACCTTCGTCGACCCGTTCAGACACAGGAATTAGACAAGGCCACACGTCGATACATCGAATAGACCTGAATCGACTTTTATCTGCGGTGTATTGAAGATGGCCGGCTTTACCCCCGGGAAAGGACCCCGGTACCCATTGTAGAGGAGGCTGGGTGGGCCCCAGGAAAAAATCCTCTGCCCCCGTCGGGGATCGAACCCCGGTCAGTCGACGTTTTAGATACGCCTACCGCCTTCATCATCAGGGCGTGTTAAATAAATAAAGTGCTTGGATTCAGGGCTAGTAAGACATTTCTGATCCTTGTAGAGTTGCCCTTAATCTTAGGTTAGGTTAGTAAAATGTTTCAATGAATGAACTTAAGATTGTAGTTTCGACAAAACTGCGAAAATTGGCCAAGGGACTTAATTAAGTTCGGGAAAATGTGTGACCCAGAGCCTAAGAACCGACGTGGCTTCATAATGTCGGGATGCAGCATCGATCGAAGCAAGTTTTGCAGAATGGACTCGTCTTCACGAGTCCTCGCGTCTTCCGGCCGTTTCTTGTTCGTCCCTCCCCGTCGTCCTCGACTTTGCTGTTGCCCTGGCAACGAACAATCAACCAGTGGCTCGAACCTCCTCTGTAAGCGGATCAACGATGTTATTAACTTCAAAGAGTTTCATTACATTTCGATAATGATGTGATTGTGCATTTATATGGAAATCAAAGCCACTCAGTTGACTGGAACGTACGCACATAAAGAATACGTTTTATATCAAGAACCTCCTTCATTCAGAACCGAACGCAAATGCGTCGAGTGTGGAGGAAAACGCTTATACACCAAACACTTGTTTCATCTACGTCTCGTGCTTAGCTGCGTTTACCTTCTTGTACTTTTAACTTTGCTCGTTGTTCGTGCCTCGTCTTTGTCTGTGTACGCGGACAACGCTTTGCCTTCCACCAGGGTGCGCGGCGAAGGCTTGCCGATTATAAAAAGAATTATCGGGCAGACGCTAGACGCTAGAGATGGATGTGACGTCGTAGAAAGTGGGATTTGAGGTCCTCACGGAGGTGGGTCCAAAGACGGCTGTCCTCTGGGTTGTAACCGGATGCTGGAGACAGCAAGGGCCTCTGAAACGTCGGCAAACTTCTGCCAGACTACACGTCTCAGTAGTTGCTGTTACGTCGCCAGGGCACAGGGAAAATGTCGTTAATATGCGGAAAGGCAATGATAAAAGAGTGAGATTGTCGGAAAATCAGGCCGTCTGTATGAGGAGGACTTCGCTCCTTAACTGCGTCCGGTTCGGAAGCTACTTCGTATTTGTTTACACACAGACAGCGGATCCCAAGTGGCTGTTTGCGAGCGAAACATCCTTCACAACATTCACTTTAACGGCTAGGGCGTGCAAGTGACACGTTTCTTACCTGTAATTTTCTTTGGTAACCAAACTGTTTTAAAGAAAAACGCTCTCGTATTTTTGTTGATGGTGGAAACGAACACAACAGAACTCGACTCACGCACCTTCGGTTCAGTCGAGGCTGCACAAAAGATTTTCCATCCCACATACACACTTGAGTAGTTTACTTTACCACTGAGACGTGTAATGAGGTGACAGTAAGTGGGCAGCCCCAACCACCGAGGCCTAACCTTTCTGGTTGCCTTGTGGCTTCTGTCCTCGTCCTCAGCGGTCAGTCTGTCGTACCTGCGCGCTTATCAGACATCTCGGGTAAACCCAAGGAGACTGGCGGTAATTTCTTTCACAGCTGCAAAATAACCCGACGACGTATTCCTTTTCAGTAGACGAATAAAGGCCTCTGGTTGTTGCAGTGAAGTATTTGGACACTGCAGGCGACGACGATCTTGTGTTTAGCCCCGACTGTCTCACGCGTGTGAATTAAAGCAAATTCGTCATAAAGCGCACGCAGTGGAATTTAAATATTCAATCCAAATTAAGGCTTATTCAGTGAGCGCGCGTCGTTCTTTATTCTGGAGCAGTCTCCGTCCGATAAGACGTTGTTGTTATTCTGGAGCAGTCTCCGTCCGATAACACGTTCTTCATTTTTCGTGATTATAAATAGAAGATGGCTGTCTTCTGGCATGTTGGATGGCGTTGCGGCCGATCAAAGCACCTCCAGCTTGGTTCTACCCCTCTCACTGTTACGACCGTATTACGTCGCTCAGAAACGGCCAAAAGCTTTGGGATCTTTCTGTGAGTGCAAATGAAATATTCATTCTTCCGCCCGTGGTCACCTGAAACTGTTCATAAATTATTTATCGAGCGTCGAAATTCCTGTAACCTTTGAGACATTTGTTTTGAAAATTATCAGAGCATCGCAGAGACGACTGGAATTTAACAGAGCGAGTAGGAAACTTTTCTTAAATTAATCGCTGGTCGAAAAACTTCTCTGTACGTGCGGGATATCTTTCTAAATCACAAGATGGTCACCGAAGCGTCGGAGAAACACCTTGTCTCCATGTTCAGGATAGAAGTCGGTGTCCTAACCCAGGAGACAAAGGTTTTAAATTAATTGTGCAAGGATCACGAGTTACTTCCGAAGCGTTGGTTAACGTCGCCGGTCGATGTCAGAGCTCCGCGCTCCGGCGGTTGGCGGCCAATGAACGCGCCTCTGCCGCGAGTCTGAGGTGCTCTGCCCCGGCCAAAGCCACGGACCTCGTCGTCCTGCGCCGACCTCACACTCGGCACTCAAGGAACTCATTCCAGTGCACGATGTACGTGGACGCAGGTACTGTCACCTCCGTTTTCAGGGTTGAAGCGTTACAATCCAGAAGGCTGTTACCGACAATCTTCTCTTTTAATAGCAAAAATATTTATTTTGGTGTCACAGACGTTGTTGGGGAGAAACCTGACTTGCAGCTGGGATCCGAACCCCGGTCGCCTCACCGACAGAGTGGTCTGAGCCCGTAGTTAAACAGCGTAAACAGAAGCGAAATCCCATCGTCCTTCAGCAAACGGAGAAAGGTTTGAAATTTCAGACCCCCCCCCCCCATCGGAGAGTTATTAGGGCCGGCCAGCATGGGGAGAGCGCGAGCGAGTGTAGCCATTATTCAAATCGGATTCATCCGCTCTTAACAACGCGAACTAATTCACACCTCCCCCCTCCCCCTCTTCGAGCTCCCAGCGATAACAAACACGCACGGCGGATATCGATACTCGTTTGTTTTCGTAGCAGCGTCGGTTTCTCTTTATTCATTGGGGGGGTGGGCGTGGGGGAGAAGAGCGGCTTCAGTAAGGGGATACGTGCGTGCGAAGTGAGCGCTAAACCGTCCCATGAAACCCAATTCCGTCCTGAGTGAGACGGATGAATGTGCAGTTTTAATATTATCTTCTCATCTCCACTTCTCTTCAGATTTTCTCTGGACTCACTGGTTCGATCGCTTCAATGTTATTTCGTTCGCAAGGCCTCTGCCTGTACACAGCACAGAAAAGAAGGCCTCTGCCTGTACACAGGACAGAAAAGAGCGGACAGACATCCATGCCTTGAGTGGGATTCGAACCCACGGTCCCAGCGACCGAGCGGACCCCCGGAGACAGACAGAAAGGCGACACGCGCCACCTACGATATCTCACAGCTCTTGGTCTGGTCATTTCACCCACACCTTAAACTGGCCACAGAATTCTTTATGCGATGTAGCGCGATGATGCCCTGATGATGAAGGCAACAGGGACCTCTACACGGCGCCACAACCCGGACGACAGCCGTGAGAACCAGAAAATTCAATCAGATGTGAAGGCGACGCTGGAGCCTCGGTCGGCTGTCACAAAACGTCTTCGAAACAAGGAAGCCTCACGCGATGGAACCCAGGAACTGGAATCCGGGCCAAAAATATTTATGACTCGCGATGATTCAGAAGGAAGTGGGTCTCTGACCGCCATGTTAGTTCTTTTCCTTACTCGGGGCCATCGCATCGATTGAAATGAGAGCCCACTCACGCACTCGCCTGAAAGGTGCGAAGGGTCCGTGAAGTGTGATTCTT